CATGTGTCAGCCTTAGGGGTTCACGGGGCTATGCTAATAGAGACTTGGGTAATAGAAGCTGAAGACTGCATCTCATGAGGTGAGGTTGGCAATGTGACACCTTTACTAAGATGCTTTGCCCCGGCCCTGTTGTGTGTCCCTTGTGAGCTTCTATAAGCTGCTTTTATAGAATCAGGAAGGCTCAGACATATATCATCTTCTCAAACCTGGGAGGAACTGAAGGTGTTAAAGAGACACCCAGCAGATGTACCCAGCCCCGATGGGCCACTCCATCTCTAAGGTCTGGCTACCCAACCATCCAGCGTTGCAGAGCTGGACCCAGAGATCCTTGAAGCAATCATATTTCCCTGCTGCAAAATGTGACACTTTCTCTGGGCAGCAATAGAAAATTCTCTATCCCTTGGGGGAATTTGTACAAGTATCCAGGAACCTACAACTATACCCAGCACCTGGCCACCCAGCACTGGCTGACCACCCTCCCATGGCTGTAGGGGGTGGGTAAGAACGTATCATTTTCGAGGTCTCAGTATGCCCGTGGGGGGGCATGGCCTAGCTGGGGACACGCCTCTCTGCGAGACCCACACCAGCTGCCGTGCCAAGGCCAGAGGCCTGGGATGGGGCCTGCCAGCTCTCTGCATTGCCATGACAAGGAAATTTAGAAAACATCATCAACATCTACTTGTAAACCAATGCCCACCCATTGAAAACTGGTTCCCGCCCACTGAAAACCAGATCTCTCCCCATCGCAAACCAGGATGATGAGGGCAGACTCATACACACCTGGGACAGGTGTTCAGGAGCTTCCGGTCCCAGGCATGCTGTCACTCACACTACCCTGTGTGGCCTCACCTGAGTGTTCTACATGTAAACCTGCTGACTTTAAAGCCCAGGCTCCTGCTTGATTCCTCGCAAAAGATGGGCAGATTGGACAGCAGGGAACCATGAGAAAAGGTCATTTTCTACATTATATTCTAACTCTGACTCTTTATTATCTTTAAAATAAAATGTAATGAGTGGGGCATGGCGGCACATACCTTTAATCCCAGCCCTTGGGAGGCAGAAACCAGCAGATTGCTGTGAGTTCGAGGCCAGACTGGTCTCTAGGCCAGCTAGGCAATATAGTGAGACCCTGTCTAAAAAAAAAGGAAAGTGATTATTTAAAACCTGCCCTAGATCAGTGTTGAATTATTCATCCCCGACTTGTGAATGGAGCCTTCAGAGAACTGACTCAGCTTCTTGCTAATACGGCACAGCCCTGGAGACCGCACTGAGAAGCCACAGTCTACCACCCTCATGGTCCCGCTCAGAAAACAACTCCCCTTCCAGGCGGAGGAAGGCCGGGGCAGGACAGAGCCCCGGACACAGAGACAGGGATGTGGGGTAACTTACAGTCAGCTGCGGGCAAGGGGAGGATGAGCCCACTGCGTTCATCTCCAAATACAGGTTCAACTCCAACACAGTGAGTGGGAGCCTCAACCTTCCAGGGGAAATCCCCAGGCAGCCACCGTTCATACGCCTCCCTCTTGTCCTTTTTAATTCACTTCTCACCTCTTCCCTGAAATGACAGCCTGTGTGTCCTCAAGCTTGAACATCTTGCCACTGTGCTGTAAGAGGGAGAAAGGGAAGATGCCTACATTTGAGATGGATCCATAAAGCCTACCAAGAAGGCTCCAAGACCACTTGATACAGAAGGACTGTCAGACCCCCATCCCAGCCCTTCCCAGGATACTTCACACACACACACACACACACACACACACACACAAGCAGGCAGACAGGTGTGCTCGCACATGCAGGCACACAGATGCACATACACACATACTTACGCATACAGAACAAGGATACACATTCTACCAGAGAATTATCATGGCCCAGCTCATGAGCACTCAGGATGCCATTTGTGTTTAAAAGGCTGATGTCCAGGCAGACGATATGGCTTAGCTGTTAAAGCAGTTTCCCTGCAAGCATGACAACTTGAGGTTAATTATCAGAGTTCATATTAAAAAAAAAAGAAAAAGAAGGAGGAAAGGGAGAGGAAAGAGAGAGGGAGGAGGAAAGGGAGAGGAAATCAAACAGATTTAGGGCTGTGAGTCTGAATGCTGACTAACTCGTGCCTTGGAGTCACATGGTCCTAGGCTGGCCTACCTCCTACATAATCCACTGCCTCAGTCAGCCCAAAGCACGGGCAGGTCCTAGAACCTGGGATCAAGGTGAGGGAAGGTCTCGGCTGCAGCAAACTTCTCACAGACTCACCTGAGGCAGAGAGGTGGGGCAGGGCTAGCTGTAAGATTCTAGGTCAGTGGTTCTCAACCGTCCTAATGCTGCAACCTTTTAATACAGCTCCTCATGCCGTGGTGACCCCCCAACACAAAATTACTTCATTGCTACTTCATAACTGCAATTTTGCTACCGTTATGAATTATAATATAAATATCTGATGTGCAAGATATCTGATATGCGACCCCTGGAGCCTGGGATGCTGCAGGCCTGATTTCTCCTCTTCCATCACCTGCTCACCTTCTATGCGGCTACCTTAAGGTCCAGCAGCAAGGGACACAGCGAGGCTTTCCCCTTGAAGCTGTGTGTTCAGTGCCCACACAGCAGCCGCAGTGGTTACAAGACTGTGGTTCAGCAGCTGCTGATGTAAGAAAGCTGAGGCCAGCTGAGAAGGAACAAGAGGGTGAGGATGTTAGACAGGAGGTCCAGGGACACTCAAGACACTGAGATGTAGAAACCGGGCAAGAAACAGCCCTCAGAAGAGTCCAAGCAAATGTCCATGTGGACAGCTCTGCTTCTGTGTGTGTACCAGTCATGCGTAGACATGCAGAGTGTCACACAGATTCGGATGTACTCTACAATGCTTAGAAACAACAGAGAAGCTAACCTCCCCCTTATCCATCACCCAGCCGCCATCCCACAGAAACACAGAGAAGAGAATCAGCGGGTGTCCACGGATAGGAGGAATTGCTGGGGAAAGAGGAAGCATCACCCAGAACAAGCAGATCTCCACATCCGTGTTCTGTGCCATGTTCTGAAAGGGCCTGGATGCTCATATGTCTAGGAGAACGTGCCTTTCCCGCCAGGCTGGCCGCTAATTGCCTTCCACGGTTTTCTCCCAGAGCGGTGGGTGCTTCTCCCCGGCAGAAGCCTGCGCAGGTCTGGCATTGACTTTCACCAGATTTTGTTATTACATTTGTCTCACAGCTTTAAAACAGTAGCAAATATGTGCAATTTATTTAAACAACACTTGGGAAATTAACGCCGTGCAAGCTCTTTCTAAGCAAATGAAGATAAAGCCTGGTGTTTAAGAGGATGTTGTGAGAGGTGCTTGGAGTTTCCCGTCTGCAATTAGAGGCCTCAGCAGTAGCAGCTACTGTTGGAGAGGCACCTCTGAGTAAGTCAGCCTTTGGGCTGTGCCTCGCCACATGCTAGGAGCACTGAGGACACGTGGAATTCCTTCCCAAAGGCAGGCCACCTCGCAGATGTGCTCTGTGAGAGAACAACCCGGGTATAGGGGCAGTGGCTGCAGGCTTGTGATTCCAGCTCTTCTGAAGGTAGAGGCAGGCAGATGACTAGTCCAAAGCCTGCCTGCACTATAGAGTGAGTCCCTATCTTAAAATTAAAATAAAATAAAATAAAAATAAAGAGGAGGACAGAGGTCAGGGTTAGATCCCCTGCTTAGCATGCATAAGGCCTAGGTTTGTGCCTAATGCTGGAAAAACAATCCCTTTCCTTCCAGAGGTACCTGGGACAGGTGAGCCTCGCAGCTGGGGCTTGTGAATATGCACGTGTGTCTGAAAACCCAAGGACTCGATAGACAGAATCACCTAGCCCACCTCTGAGCTGTCCAGTCCCGGGACTGAGGAATGAGTGTTTCTAAGGAGTTCCTCAGTGTGCAGCGCAGGTGCCGGTCCAGCCCGGAACACAAGCCCCATCCTCTCCTGCTCCCAGCAGGTTTAAGAGACAGCCTGGGGGCAGCGAGTCAAGCCTCAGTGCCCACCTCTACCATGGGAATATGGATCGCCTCCATCCCGCTGCACAGCCCTGGTGAACATAGGCAAAAAAAAACGATGCCACTCCACAGGATTCAGGAAGTGAAAGCCAGAACTTGGGAGGCTGAGGCAGGGGCATTGCTGTTAAGTTCAACTGAGTTCCAAGTCAGTTGGGACTAGAACATGTAACAGTGTCTATCCACAGGGCCTACTGTCTGTCCTCAGAGCCAGCTGTCTGTCCACAGGGCCGACACTGAGGCTGTTTGTCTGCAGGGTCAGCACTAACCCACCAAGCGGGTGCTCAGGCTCTCACGACTTCAACCATATCGGGAGCTCAGCCAAAGGGGATTCCACCATCCCAATGAGTTGAGGCAGGAAACACATCACTTGTCCTTTAACCCACTCAGTGCTCAGTCTGTTGCCCAAAGCCTACAACCCACTCGTCTCCCACCCCTAACAAATGTCTTAGTCTGTGTTGGGAACAAGCTTGCCTCTGGGAACGAACTTGCTTCATCCTGTCAGTTTGACAAGTTAAAGGGTGTATTACTCTAATTTGCATTTTTGATTCATGGAAGATGTAACAAGTATATGGACAGTCAGCACCTGTTGTGGTATAAGCTACATGTGCATGTTCTTTCCTTATTATGAAAGATATTAGTAGTTTACAAGAGCTCTTTACATAGGGGCTAGTGTTCATTTGTGACTTTTCTTTTGAATCACGTTGCTTAGCACAAAGTCAAGGGCTCCATCCCCAGAACCAAAGGAATTTAAAATAATGAAAACCCCTTATCCACATCCATTAAGGAGCTTTATGGGGGGGAAAAGGGAGCTTTATGGGCTCCTTTCTGTGGTTTCTACTTCGTCTATCTAATTCCACAACATACAAGACCTTCACCCCAACTCCAGTGTCCCCTGACTTTTCCGTACCAATAGGAGTGACCACAGATCCTCCTAACAGCTGTCCCTGTATAAAAGCCTAACCTGGCTTCTCTGACTCTTCTCCTTCAGAAAGGGAAGACAGTGGCCCTGGACCCCTCTCAGCCCCCAAAGGATACACTGCTGCCATGGCCCCAACATCAGAGCTCCAGCGGGCTGAGGAGGCAGAAGCGAGACTGGGTCATCCCGCCCATCAACGTGCCTGAGAACTCTCGTGGGCCCTTCCCCCAGCAGCTCGTCAGGGTAAGTGGGCCTCAGCTGCTCATGAGGCTGGTCTGGAGACATCTCTTCCGGACACTCTGAAGCCAGGGCAGGTTTGGGGATGTGGGAGGTGCTATCCAGTAAAGAAATGGGAAGAGCCAAGGCCTCTCTTCCTCCAGGCCCTTTCTGGTCACAGCGACTCCTCTGGGGATTATTTACATTTTGTCTGTGGAAGCTTGTGTTGTTCAGGCTATGTCCTTTGGCCTCTGGCACCTGGCTGTGATGTGTGTTTTTCCCTGTAGGGCACCTGCACATCTGTGACAATGGTCACCATGATGAAATGCAGGGACATGATCATGGAGAAGCCCCGTGGAAATGAGGTTCTGGGATGTTGCAAGGGTCGTGGATAGCCAGAGTATGGAGGAGGCGTGTGTTCCCAGGCCGGTTCTGTTGTGTGTTGTGTGTGTTTAGCATGCCGATATCATCAGTGCCCATAGCGATTTATGTTGCTACCATCAACCCCAGCAGATTTCCTAGTTCTATCCAAGGGTGACAGGGACCCGTGTGTGAGTGTGTGTTGAGTATGTTTGTGTGTGTGTGTTACAGTAGAAACTCTGGCATTGGTTCATGCAGCACACGCCCAGGGGGACAGTATGGCAAGCTCCTCTGTGCTCACTCTGACCACCGGGGCGTGAGGATTTCCTGAGTGTACACAGCCCCAGAACTGCCCAGCTGAGCTGGGAATTGCCCTGTGAGTCAGAGTTAAGGCCTGCAGGGAGCTGTCAAGGATGGAAACCCTGTGGGCCAGCTCCTGGCTGTTGGCCGACCTGCTGTCCACACCGGCTGCTAGGACGGGGCTGATGCCAGCCCTGTGGCCCTCACCCTGTACACAAGCCTCAGCCCTCCCCAGATGTGGCTTCATCTGGTGATGGCTTGTGATGTCGTTTGCTGAGGGGTTTTCTCGAAGTCTTTCATTTTTAATATAAACCAATTTGTTCTGAAAGAAGTTTCATCCAGCCCTGCCTGCGACACCGTGCTGTGTTGTGTGGAAGGCGGCTATGGGGAACATGGCTGCTGCCGACTCAGGGAAAACCACCCAGAGCATCCCCAAGCCTCAGTGTGAGCCCAGGGGAGGCCATGGGAACAGCAGAGTGTCACAGAGATGCACCAGCAGACAGGTGGAGAGGAGAAGGGAGGGAGGAGAGCTGTGCCACTCAGCCCAGCCTTTCTTCCTCAGAGCCGACTCGCTCTTCTGAGACGGGCTCTTTAGGGCACAGGTGTGAACTGAGTGTGCCCCAGGCAGCATACAAAAAGGGGGTATGGCTGTGTGCCCATCAAACCAAATTCCCAAAAATAAGTGGCAAGCAGAGTGACAACTCCTAGATTGACAGCTGCCAATCAGATTCATGCCCTGACTCCAGGATGGTCTAAGTCATTCTCATGGGCAGTGAGTGACTGAGTGAGTGAGTGATTGAGTGAGTGAGCGAGTGACAGGTGTGTGCTGGGGGCTCTGCTCTGCTCACATCTGAAAGATGTGTTCGGGAAGGATTTGGGGAGAGTTCAGGAGCACTGAAGCATCCCTAAGTCTTTGTCCTACATCCATATCTACAGCCCTACAGGAAAACATAAGAAGACTATAGGAGGCCCTTGTGGGCAGAGCGATGCCCCAGAAAGTGCTACCTGTATGCCACAGGGCACCACGGTGGGGGCGGGGTCTCCGATGCTGCCTGCCCTCCTCTGCTGGGCCTGGGGGAAAAGACCCTTGGAACACTCGAGACCTGCATGGATGTATCAATGGTCTGGGATGGCCAAGCAGAGTTGGAGCTGAGGGAATGGCCACTTCCTCCCAACCAGCAGAGGCCTGGATCCACTGTCAGCTGGAGACCTCTCTTCTCAGGGAGGGACAATTAGTGTTGAGCTCACAGCATGTCTGAAGGTATCTATGTGGCCGTGGGTGGCTGTAGGGACTGCTGAATAGTCTGTCCTCTGAATAGGCAGTCTGTCCTCTGCTGGCCACATAGACATAGGGAACGTGGCTGGAGATAGTGGCAGGCAGCAGAAGCTGCGGTGCCAGCTGGTGAGGCTGGGATGCTAAGCATCTAAACCTGTGAGAAGAATAATGAAACAGTTTTTTGACTGTATACACAGCAGTCTACCTCAAATACCTCATCCATGCATAACATACAGCAACCCACTTCATAAATACACACATACAGAAACCTAATTCATACATACATTCCCACTTCCTACATAGGTACATAAACGTACACACACCCAGCCCACCTTACGTCTGACCCAAATACACCAGCCCATTTCAAACACATACACAAGCCCGTGCACACCGAGTGCGCACCGGCCCACTACATGCATCCATGCACTCACACACATACACATCACACCATTCACACAACCACACCCACATCATGCTCTCGTTTTCGGTTCCTGACTCTCACAGAGTGTGGATAGCTATTCTGTGGTGTTTCATCTGCAGGAAGCCCATGAGTTTCCTGTCGGTGTTCCAGGGCAGGGCTCCAAAAGCCCACATCAGAGCATGAATGCAGCTTGATGGGCAGGCAGCAGAGCTGGCACACTCAGAGGTTCAGCTGGGATTAGCTGCAGTTCCGTGCTCATTAAGGCATTTCATTCTGATAAAATATGTTAAATGAAAATGTGGGTGGAAGAAGAGGCAGAATGTTCTTCCCCAACTTCGGTTAATTGCAGTCTTTTTCCTTGGAAGGAATAGTGCGCCTCTTTCTAAGTGTTCGCTCTCTACCACATAGGGCACAGATCACTTGTGTGGACAGGAAAGCCTGGTGAGAACAGTGGCTCTTACCAGCCAGGAGGCTGAGCCATACAGGTGCACAATAGGAGCTGAGCCATGTGGGCCCACGTGAGTTGAGTCACAGCAGTCTGTGGTAAAGCAAGGGCTGAGCCACACAGGTAAATGGCAAAGCACTGCTGAACCACACAGGTCAATGGCAAAGCACATTCGGCCGTGGTGGAGCATGACTCAACAACTGGGCGGCTGAGCTACACAGGCTTATAGCAAAGTACGGCATGATTGCACAGATTCCACCGTGGGGAGCTAGCCCACTGTCTCAGGTCAGTGCTCATGAGGCGTGGCAGTGGCCTTGGGGAGACATTACCCATCAAGTCCCAGCCATCTTTTCTTCTCAGAAGGAGGATGTGTGACTTAGAGCAAGGTGCACGCAGGAGCCTATGTAGATGGCTGTGTTCCTAGTTTGGCATACCTGAGAGATGGTGGGTTCTTTAAGAGATAGAGGGTAGAGAGCTATTCAAGGGGTGGCATTTGAAGGGCACGGTGTCTGTCACAGGTGACACTGACATCTTCCATACCCACTGGGCTATCAGTCGACAGCATCTAACATCATACACTTTGTGCCACCAAGACCCCAAAATCACAGAGCTCATTGGTCAGGAACAGGGACCTCCAAAAGTCAGGAGTCAAATGAACCTTTCATCGTCATAGGTGAGTATTATCACAAGTATTCATTGCAGCCATGGAGGGCTGATTAGCACAGAGAAGGAAGCAATGAGCAGCCACTGAGCCACCCTGGAAAGCTCCCGAGGAACTGTGGAAAGCTTTGGGACAATGTCCCTAGACCAGAACCCCAGTACAGGCCTGGACAGTATGGGGCACCCTTTCCTTTTGGAAATTCAAAGGCAAGAACAGACAGCTCTTCTTCCATGGTGGTCCAGAAACACCATCGGCTTTCTGCTTGTCCCTGCCGACTGGGCTCCATGTGGTGCTGACGGCTCCTAACAGGATGTCAGCACAAGCTTTGAAAGCCGCTCGCTGCTCAGACATGCTCATGAGGTTTGACTGCTGGCAAGATTCAGGGGAGGATAAAACGGGACTTGTAGAAAGAGGACTATTCCGCAGCTGAATCTAATAAAAATTCAGAATTTGTTAACTGGGGAGGTTGTCCACGGCGGCAGCACAAATTGACTGGAGACAAGCAGGAGGAAAGCTGTGTTCTTGGGGGACAAGTCATTTAATTTTGGAAACTGATATTTGAGGAGACAAGAAGCCATGCAAATCAGTCCTTGGGGCCCCTGCTAGAAAGTGAGCCCCAGAAATAGCTGCGGTCGAGATTGGAGGGACGTTGCCACAAAACCACTCTGTGCAGGGACAGTGCCCTGCCGAAGGTGACAAAGGCAGAGTCTACCGTGGAGAGGTCACAAGCAGCTGTGATGGAAGCTTGAAGAGGTCATCTGACCCGATGCTGACAGCCACAAGTAGATAACCAGATGGAGGCTGAGTGTTTCCTTTTCCACTTCTGTGTGTAGAGTGTGCAGGCGTGTGGGCACACATGTAGGAATATACACACATGTGCCACTTCAAAGGATGAAAAGGCAGGAGGGGAGGTGGAGAGACAGCTACCTAGTCCACACTAGCTGCTCTTGCAGAGGACCTGGATTCAGTTCCCATCACCCACATGGAGGCTCACAATAATCTATAACTTCGGTTCCATGGGATTTGATGCCCTCTTTTGGCCTGCAGGCACATGATACACATAAACTCACACAGGCAAACACAAAGATAGATGGATGATAGGCTAGATAGATAAACAGATGGACGGATGGACAGATGGACAGATGGATGATAGATGAATGGATGGATGGATGGATGGATGACAGATGACGATGGATGGATAGATACATAGATCTATACATAGATAGATATATACATACACATACATAGATAAATAGATAAATAAATAGATACATAGATGGATAGATAATAGATAGATACATAGATACATAGATGGATAGATAAATACATAGATAGGTAGGTAGGCAGGCAGACAGACTGACTGACAGATAATAGACAGATTCGTTTTTCCTTTTTAATTAATTTATTTATTTATTCGCTTTATATCCTAGTTGCAACCCTGCTTCTCTCCTCTCAGCATCCGCTCCCTCCCCCCCCCCTCGATTTGTTTTTTTAAAGGTAGAAAAAAAGCATGGAAGGCACAATAGGGCCTGGCCTGGGGCGGGCGGCAGGGGGGGCGGGTAGA